AGGCCATATTTCAGGCAACCATGGTGATCTGTGTAATTGCACTCAGAGTGCCATTCAGGGTCATATTTGTCAGGTGACCAATGCATCTTTCTACAGAGCCAAAGAACAGCTCTAATTTGGCATTACAGCAAGCCAGCATCAAGACCAGATTATCCATTTCAATAACATTGCTGGCTGTCCCAAGGGTATAATTAATGGCATTTGCCTTAATCCCTCCCATATCCAATAATTACTGTATACATTACTTCCAACTGTATCTCTATGATCCTATATTTAAATAATGGCCTCAGTTCAGTTAATAACATTCCTGTCTCAGATGGATCAAAAAGTCCTTCTACTTCTACTCCGGATAGTTGACTGCGCTGTTGCAAGTGTTGTCTTATGAAGGAGACGTTGAATTGAAATCTCTTGCAAATAAACAGAAAAGGTCTCATGACATTAGTTAAAAAAGACAGGGAATTCTTCAGTGACCTGGTCAATATTTATCCTTCATCCAACACCTTAATAAAAATGATTGTTTGGCTATTAATTTCATTGTTATTTCTGGGATCTAAATATGCGTGAGTTGATTGTTACATTCTCTGTTTGACGACAGTAACTGCATATTAGAACAGAGAGAAATATAGGGAGAGAGAAGTAATTGGTTGGCTATTAAGATCTTGGGATGTCCAATGATCAGAAACAAGCCTTTATAAACACAAGCTTTTCTCTTTCTATTCATTTGCAATTGCTGTTAGTTCCAACTGTATCTGTGTTTCTGTATGAATCTTGACTGTGTTCAGGTTTCTGCCAGATCTTAGCATATATGCTTGTACTGCACAGATTTTTATATAGGTTTGGGTCTTTATTATCTGTATCTCTGTACTGATTCACCTTCTAAATGGGATTGCTCTTAGCTCTCTCTCCATCTCTGTCACTGTACTAAGCCCTCTGTTATTCATTGACTGTAACTCTGCATGTGTCTAGGTATTGTATTTATGGGTTGCTTGTCGATCTGTGCTTCTGTAATGATCTTTCATATGTTTAAGGTTGTCACTATCTCTAACTGCATCAATACACTTGAATTGTTCCTTTTTTGGTTTCCAGATTGCTGGTGGCTCTATTTCTACCTGTACCTCTGTGCTGTTTTCTTATGTTTGAGGAGTCCCACTGTCATCATCACTATCTTCTGGCTTTGTGGGTTTGCTGTTAGTTTTGTGTTTCTACGCTTATCTTTCCCTGAGTTTGAAGCTGCTGCTGCTTTATTGGTGTCTGCGACTCCCCGTTGTTACCCTTCATTGTGCTACTTCCATCTGTTTTTATGTAGTGTTTTGGCTTTGCTTGTGGACTGTTGCTGGCTGTATCTCTATCTGTGGCTCTATTAATTTGTCTTTTGTTTTATGGTAGCTGCTAGCTCTTTCTCAATTATGAAATACAAAATGAAACAGTGTAAGATAGTGGACAAAGACACATCCCTCCCTGACACGGTCAATGCCTTCTATGCTTGGTTCCAGCAGAATACCGCCGACATGGTGACGTCTACCCCGACAGCCCCGGATACACCTGTTCTCTCTGTCACCACTTCAGAAGTCAGATCAGTCTTCCTGGGAGTCAACCCAAGGAAAGCAACAGGCCCAGACGGTGTCCCTGGCCGAGCACTCAGGTCCTGTTTGGACCAACAGGCGAAGGTATTCACCGACACCTTCAACCTCTCTAAGTTTTTGAGAAGATTTGTAGCTCAGGTTGTGGATAAGATTGTAGACTTCCTTGCCATATCCCTAGCCCTTTACTCATTCCTGAAACATTTGGCCTATGTAATGTTTCGTTTAGATAGGCCAAACTGGAAGAAAATTGACAATAAGGATACACGAACACCAACTAACCACCAAGAGACACGACCAATTCTAACTGGTCTTAATACACACAGACAAAGAAGGACACGAATTCCACTGGGACAACACTTCCATCCTGGCACAAGCCAAACAGAGATATGCCAGGGACTTCCTGGAGGCCCAGCATTCCAACCAGGAATTCCATTATCTCCTCCAGACTGATCTCAAAACTGCGTGACCTTGGTCTCGGCTCTGCCCTCTGCAACTGGATCTTCAGCTTTCTGACCCTAGGCTGCAATCAGTAAGGATAGGTAACTGCACCTCCTCCACAATAACACGCAATGCTGGAGTGCCCCAAGGATGCATCCTCAGCCATCTACTGTATTTTCTGTACACCTACGACTGTGTTGCCAAATTCCGAACGAACGCTATTTACAAGTTCGCTGACAACACCACCGTGGTGGGATGGATATCTAACAAGTCAAAATACAGAAGGGAGATAGAGGGCTTGGTGACATGGTGCAATGAAAACCATCTGTCTCTCAAAGTCGCCAAAACTAAAGAACTGATCATTGACTTCAGAAAGAAAGGAGGAGAATGCACCCCCATCTACATCAATGGAACTGAGGTTGAGAGTGATGAGCATCAAGTTCTTTGGAGTAATGATAACCAACGACCTGTCCCAGACTTCCCACGTAAATGCGACAGTCAAGAAGGCACAACGCCTCTTCTTCTTCAGGTGGCTCAGGAAATTTAGCATGTCCATAAGGTCCCTCACCAACTTTTACAGATGCACCATTGAAAGCATACTGTCCGGGTGCATAATGGCCTGGTCTGGCAACTGCTCTGCCCAGGACCATATGAAACTACAAAAGGTGGTGTGCACAGCCCAGGCCATCATGGAAGCCAACCTTCCATCCATGGACTCTATTTACATGGCTCGCTGATGTAGAAAGGTGGCCAACATCATCAAAGACCAATCGTACCCGAGTAATGATCTCCTACAACCTCTTCCGTCAGGCAGAAGATACAGAAGCCTGAACACACGCATGAGCAGGTTCAGGAACAGTTTCTTTCGGCCGTTATCATTCTATTGAATGGATTCTAGCCTCAAATAATGTAACCTGCACTGTAACCTGTATGCCTCTAAGGGTTTTGATCTGTTCATCCTTTGCTTGCTGTGATCTGTCTGTATCACTTGTAAACAAGGCTTTTCACTGTATTTCAATGTGATAATTGATCAATCAATCAATCATATCCATTACACAAAAAAAAAGAACTGTAGATGCTGAAGATCTGAAACAAATACAGAAATTCCTGGAAAATTTCAGCAGATCTGGCAGCATTTGGGGAGAGAAATCAGAGTTAACGCTTCAGGTCCAGTGACCCTTCTTCAGAACACATTTCTGGTTTTGTTTCAATCATACCCATAATGTGGTATCTGTGCTGATCAATTTTCTACCTCTCTTCATTCTCCCTCCTTCTCTCTACTTTGTGCTTTGTCTTTTTTTTTGTCTCCACCTTATCGTCTCCTATTGTTTCCTGTCCCTCTGCTTTTTCTTCCCATCTCTGTCTTTTTTGTCTCTATCATTATTTCTGCCTCCTTTTTTCTTTCTCTCCCTGTCTTTTTTTTTGTTTTCTCTCTGCCTCTGCCTTTCTTTCTCTATTTTCTCTCTCCTCTTCCTCCTTTTCTCTGTTTTCACTCCTTCTCTCAATTAGTCTGTTCGGTCTTCTCTCCTGTTTCTTTCTCCCTTTATCTCTTTCCTGGTCACTGCGTTCTTTCATTCTCTCTCACTGTGTTTTTTCTCTCTTCCTCACTACGTTCTGTTTTGGCCCCCATATCTCAGGAAGGATGTACTGGCCCTGGAGCGGGTTCAGAGAAGGTTCATGAGAATGGTCCCAGGAATTAAAAGCTTAACATATGAGGAACGTTTGAGGACTCTGGGACTATACTCATTGGAGTTTAGAAGAATGAGGGGGGATCTAATTGAAACTTACAGCATACTGAATGGCCTGAACAGAGTGGATGTTGGGAAGATGTTTTCATTTGTAGGAGAGACTCACACCCGAAAGCACAGCCTTACGTAAAGGGAAGACCTAGAACGGGGGAAGGAGAAACCTCTTCAGCCACGGAGTGGTGCCACAGAAGGCTGTGGAGGCCTAGTCATTGAATACACGTAAGACTGAGATAGATAGATTCTTGATTATCAAGGGGATCAAGGGTTACAGGGAGAAAGCGGGAGAATGGGGTTGAGGAACTTATCAGCCATGATTGAATGGCAGAGCAGACTCGATGGGCCGAATGGCCTAATTTCTGCTCCTATGTCTTATGGTCTTATGTTCTCTTTCTCACCTTCTCTGTGCTTTCTCTCTCTCTGTGTTCTTCCTCTTTCTCACTGCGTTCCATCTGTCTGTGTGTTCTCTTTCTCTCACCATGCTCTTTCTGTCTGTCTCCCTCTCACTGAGTGTCTTGCCTCTTTCTCTGGGTTCTCCATCACTGTGTTCCCTCTTTCTCACTCTGTCCCCCTCTTTCTCACACTGTTCTCCTCTTTCTCACACTGTTCTCCTTCTGTGCATTCTCTTTCTGTTCTCTCTCCCTCACCTTTTTTTCTCTTTCTCATTGTGTCCCATCTCTCTGTGTATTTTCTCTATCTCCCTCCATTCTTTCTCTCTTTCACTTTGGTCTCTCCCACTTTGTTTTTTTATCTCAGTGTTCTCTCTCCTTCACTCTCTTTCTCCCTCAGTTTATTTTTTGACTCATTGTGGTCCATCTCTGTGTGTTCTCTCGCTCTCATTCTTTTTTTTTCATTGTTCTCCTTCTCTCTGTGTTCTCTCTCATACTCTCTTCTGTATTTTCTTTCTGTCACTGTGTTTTTCTCTGTATGTAGTTCTCTATCTCTCAGATCTGTCTTCCTCCCAATGTTTATTCTGTCTCTCTGACTGTGTTCTCTCTGTGCCTCACAGTTATCTTCTCTCTCATTGTCTTCTCACTCTCAGTGTGTTCTCTCTGTGTGCATGTTCTCTGTGCTTCATGTTTTTTTTCTCTCATTGTATTCTCAATCTCACTGTGTTTGCTCTTTGCCTCACAATTTTTCTCTCACTGTGTTCTCACGCTCACTGTGTTCTCTCCGTGCCGCAGTTTTTTTTCTCTCATGCTGTTCTCACTGTCACTGTGTCTCACATTTTCTCCTCTCCCTCATTGTGCTCTCACTGTCACAGTATTCTCACTGTCACTGTTTGCTCTGTGCCTCACAATTTTTATCTCTTTCATTGTGTTCTCACACTCACTGTGTTCTCACTGTCACAATGTTCTCACTGTCACAGTGTTCTCACGCTCACTGTGACTCAGTATTTTTCTCTCTCTCATTGTGTTCTCACTGTCACAGTGTTCTCACGCTCATTGTGTTCTCTCTGTGACTCAGTATTTTTCTCTCTCTCATTGTGTTCTCACTGTCACAGTGTTCTCACGCTCATTGTGTTCTCACGCTCACTGTATTCTCACTTTGCGCGTGCTCTCTCCCTCACACTGTTTATTCTCTCTGACAGTATCCTCTCCCCTTCCCGTCAAGTCCTGGGGATGGAGCACCCTGCCCGGGTCGAGCGGGGTCGTGGCGGTGGCGGTCGCCGTGGAGGAAGAGGCCGGGGTCGGGGGCGAGGAGCTCGGGGGTTCGGGGAGCGACAACCGGAGCGGGGTTGGCGGGGATTCCGAGGTCGGGCCCAGACCCATACCCAGACCCATACCCAGACCCATACCCGGACACGAGACGGAGAGCTTCCGGAGTGGCGGCGGCGGCAGCAGCAGCAGCAGCCGGAGCAGGTACAGGCCTAGGGGGAGGGAGCTGGGCCTCGGCTTCGGGTAACCAGGCTCCTGGATAAGGAGCGAGGTGAACTGGACTTAGGTTCCTAGTGCGGGGCAACAACCATTTGTATTTATATAGCGCCTGGCATGAAATATACAGGTCCCATACTACTTCATAGAAACAATTATAAAACAAAGCACAAAACAAATGATAAAATAATTTGTCACAAACACACGAAAGTAGCTGTGATAGAATTAAGAAAATACACTTCCACAAATATGGAATGACTAGACAATGAGATTATTTCTTTCTCTATAGAACTCAAGTCGTTTATAAACATGGAATTAATTACTTTTTCAATCTGACAATATATGGGTTTTCATACAGAATGCAGAAGACATTCATTTTTATTCTGAGTTAAGGGGGCATGCATTTTTCGATGTGTTGTAATTATTGCTGTGCTGAAATGTTTGTAAGTGTGCAATCCTGTTATTTATTCCTTTTCATTTGATGATTGTTTCTAACCATGCTATTGCATTAGTATTACTTGTTTTATTTGCATGGTCATCCGTACTGATGATAATTTTTCAATAGGCTAATTATCTCTGTAGCAATGATGCCAAGTCACATAAAATATTATGTCAGATAATTAAAAGTCAGTTGTTTGAAGAGGTAAGTTTTAAAGAACATATTAATTGAGGAAAGCAGTAGAGAGATGAAGGAAGAAACTCGACAGCTTAAGGAGCTGAAGGCATGGCCGAAAACAAAGATTTGATTGGGTTTGTGCAAGAGTCCAAAATTAGAGAACCAGAAAAACTTTGACTTAGAAATTAGTCCAGAGTGTGCCCTTGTACGTGAATAGCTAAACGTCAGCAAACACAGCAAATAATTAGGAAGACATTTGAAAGGGGAGGCGATGGCCTAGTTGTATTGTCACTGGACAGTTAATCCAGAGACCCAGATAATGTTCTGAGGACCCGGGTTCCAATAGCACCACTGCAGATGGTGGAATTTGAATTCAATAAAAGTATCTGGAATTAAGAATCTACTGATGACCGTGAATCATTTTCGATTATCGGAAAAACCCATCTCCTTCACTAATGTCCTTCAGGGAAGGAAACTACCATCCTTACCTGGTCTTGACTACGAGACTCCAGACCCACAGCAATGTGGTTGACTCTGAACTGCCCTCTGGGCAATTAGGGATGGGTAATAAATGCTGCCTAGCCAGCGACACCCTCATCCCGTTAATGGATAAAGAAAAAAAGATAAATGTTGGCCCCTATTGCAAGGGGAATGAAATATAAAAGTATGGAAGTTTTATGCCAATTGTACAATAATAGTAAGACTGCACCTGGTGACTGTGATAAAAGCAAAATACTCTGAATGTTGGATATCTGAAATAATTACAGAACATGCTAGAAATATTCCAGTCAGGCAGCAGCTGCAAAGAGAATAGAGTTAACATTTTGAGTCAAGTATGAGTTTTGCAGAGAATTCAAGCGGAGCCATATTTGACTTGAAAAGTTAACTCTGGCGACATCTGTGGTGAGAGTAACAGACCTGAATATTTCCAGCACTTTCTGTTTTTATTCTTAAAATATTAGATACAATTTTGGTCTTTATTTTAGGTCCATGTAAAAGTCAATCTAATATAAAATTTTCCTGGTGATTTTTGACCTAAAAACCCTTGTTATTTCACATTTTCACCTTGAGTATAAATCGACTCTAGTTTTTGACAAATTTTTTAACAAAAAATAATAACATGCGGTTTTTCTGAAAATTAAGGTATTATAACCTACATGATAGTTCACAAGCACCAATTACCTTCTGGAAGAATGTTCGGTGTGCAGTCTGTTGAATGTAAAATCACGATTTATGGTTTAATTTCATTAGTACAATTTTATCTTCTTGTCAATGCACTTTATTTAGAGCTCTTTAGAAAATCCAGTTTCCATTAAGACACCAGTGATTCCTGAAACTGGACATTTTGTCCAGTTACTGTCCAAAGAGTGTACAGTGAACCCTTTTATCATTGACTGAGCTCCAGAAATTGTACATGTTGTTAACATTCATTCGTGATCTCTTCAAATTGACAGAATACTATATTGACAATTGCATAGTCCAAGCAAAATTAATCTGAATTTTCTAAAATAAGGTTACAGAAATATATATAGCAGGTTACGAAAGGCACATTATTTATATTTCCATGCTCTCCATATGTGGCATAATAATTGTTTTGTATATATCTATAGTGGTTTCAGAGCTGTACAGATGCCAAATACATTAGGCTGTGAAGTTTAAGGTGAACCTCATGAAATTTTGTGAATGTCCAATCCTTCACCTTGCAAGAGCTATTGTGCAAAAATTGTGGGTGGCTATGTATTGGATGTGTGTTAGATAAGTATTCATGTTCAGGGTCTACAAACTAATTCCATCCTATTATTCATGGTAGGCAATGATAACAATGATGTCCCTTTGCCTGTAAGGGATTGAAGTAGCCCATATGGTTTCATTGTAGTATTGAGCATAGATTATGAAATTGAACAAGATTGATTAAGCAAAAATATACATATAAAATATGTGCAAAGAGGTAGTAACAAGAGTCCTTGGCAGAACACAAAAGTATGTTACATGTTGGATATTGAATCTGTTAATTCAGTAAGGATTATATATCATAAACATTTTTTTTATTTGAAAGGATGAGGATGCTATGGGCATAAAAGAAGATTATGATCAACCAAATGAATTTTCTAGAAGACAAATAGTTTCAAATTGGGACAGATACAAAACTGAAGAAAAGGAACCTGATGATGGTGGTGAATCTTTGCGAGGTACAGATTTCAATGTGCTGCTGAGTTCTGCAGGTAGGACATCATTGATCTTCAAAGTGTGCAAAAATAGTGCATAACAACTTTTAAACTTTAATCTCAAAAAGACATTCTACTTAATTTGAAATGCGATCCTCAATCCTTCCTTTTAGTACAGAATATTAGAAGTGAAAGATTAATTAGTTGAAGCATCAATTTTTGCTCAAATCTAAGGAATATTAGCAAAGCTGGTACACAAACACACTTAACCATTCCTTACTATATCTGGTTTGACCATGCCAAGCACACCACACTGTACATTACTCCAGAATAATCATGCAAATAATCCTTGGCTTCTTTATTGCACTACTGATTATCTGATTAAAAAAGTTTCCGTTGTTCACTCCACTCTCACCTACACATTGAGGGAGGAGCATATGGGCTCTTTGTTACTAAGATTGAAACCATCCATTCAGTTGCTTCTTTTGCAGTCCCTCCTTTCCCAAGTGGCAAATCTGGTTAATGTACAAGAACTGATTGTACCATTTGAAGAAGAGACAAGCAATGATCCAGTGTCTTGGCCAACATTCTGACTGTAACTAATATTGGCCAATAAAAAAGCTAAAGTTGGTTGCTTCGTTTCACAGCTTAATAAGTCTTCTCAACCTTGGATATTTGTAACTCTTTATCTTTATATACATTTTCTTTGCTTCGCTGTACACTTAGCAGTTTCCAGGTTATTCAAGCCAGGAATTCTTCCTGTGTCACAGGTATATTGATTGATTGTTTCCATTCTACCTTCTGCCCCTTTTATTCAAAATACTTGTGTATTTATGTCAAAAACATGTCAAGATCTCATTCTCTCTTTTCAGATGCTAATAGAAGTACTGCAGCATTTTCTATTTTCATTTTACATTTCAAGCGTTTGGATTTTTTTATTCATGACTACTATAATTAAGTCTTCAGATGTAGATGTAAAACTATATGCATAGATTGACAAGAGGAGACTATTAGCTTGTCAGCTGATGTGGTTACATTAAAGTTAATGACAAACGACATATGTCATTTTATGTGAAAAAAAAAATTATTTACATTCAGTCAAGCAACTTACTCACAAATGGGTGCCCTTTAGTTGGGGGAAAGGTTTTGGGGTAGGCATCAGATAATTATTAAATGTTCAGGAGCAATGTGAGATTGCTATAGGAAAAATAAATAGGATTTTTGGAAATCTTGCTAAGTGTATAAAGTTCAAAACTAAGAGCACAATATTTAAGCAAATAAGGATTAGATGCTCTGGCATTTGGAGTATTGTGTTTAGTTTTGGTCCATAGTGTTCTCTTTGACAGCCGTGACCTTTTCTAGCTTGTCTTCTGGGAGTTGGGGAAGGATTTGCTGAAATGGTTTTGCTTGTCTGTTTCAGGGTTAAGATTACCAGCTGCTGAGTAGTATAAGACTGGCAAGCGTCATATCCCACCACGTTAAGGAGTTTCAGTTAAAAACTTATAAAATTGGATGCAGGCTATTAAAATGGCCACTTCCAATCGTGTAAGCTGTGGCACGCTGAAGCTTCAGACAGTCCTAATTCTCTAGCGGATGCCCAAATTAAGCATGAACATCCGTAACCATTTGAGGAATATATATATCTTTCTATTTGAGGATGACTCAGTTCAAAATGACTGTAGAGGTTCACCTAGCTTGTTGCTCTGCTTTCACCTTAGACAAAAGGAAACACTAAAGCTCAACATGTGTGAGGTAAATGTGAATGGATCCTATCAGCCTTCTACTGGTGTGTCATCCCTAGTGCCTCAATGTGTCAAATGACACATTGTATTTGGAATCAACATATATGCCATGTTTTCCATTTGGAGTGAGGTCTTTGAACAGGTCAAGTCACATGATGAGGGAAGCATTTTTATTATCTGCTTTTGAGTCATCTAGAAGCTATTTTGCAGATATAGTTCCAATGAGAGCCAACAAAATAGCTGCAAATCATCTAAGCACCCAAGGTAATAAACACCATGCCTTGAAAGTGGGCGACAGGGAGAAAGAATCTGACCAATCTGTTTCATCTGAAAACCAATCTATCCAAACATACTAAGAATCCTGTTTATCAGATATTCACTTCAACAGTAAAGCATTAACTCCATCTAAGAAACTGCAGGCCTGTGCGAACTATAAGCTGTAACTATATTTTACCATCATCTATATCTAATCTTTGTGAGTGTGTAGACAGTTGAGTGAAACATTGTGTTAAATCCAGGGTAAATGTTTGGTCATAAAAAAAAGCTCTCAAAAAGCTTTTTGCTGGACTTATTGAATTGGTACTCACTTTGAAGGGGCACAAGCATATATCTTGTATATCTGGGCAGTAAAAGGGAACACATGCATTCTGACTGTGACAGAAGCCTGTTGCTTTTTAGTTCATGTTTCTTTTTTTGCTTCTGGAATCAATTATAGCCAAAGAATGCATGTGTTAGCCTTCTAATAAACACTTCGCAGGAGGAACTCCATCTGATTTCCTTCCAGCCCCTAGTATCAAGCTACAGTAACGAGACCAGTTTGTGAGCTCTATTTGCTGCTCCAGCTAAAAGCAGCTGTCACAATGAAATAGAGATGGCAAATATTTAAGTTTAGTAAAATGTCTGGGCAATCTCATTTAATTACAGATATAACATAGTGTGATCTGGAGCAATAAAGCAGGCCAGGCAGCATCAGAGGAGCAGGAAAGTTAACGTTTCGGGTTGGCACCCTTCTTCAGATGCTGCCTGGCCTGCTGTGTTCCTCCAGCTCCACACTGTGCTATCTTTGACTCTAGCATTGGCACTTCTTACTATCTCATTTAATTACAGATACCTTTTATAGAAAAAATGTCTATCAGCTCTCCCAATGATTGTGGTGTAACCTGGGCAACAATAACTTGTCTCCGCTTTTGCAGTTAAGCATAGATATCCAGAGGTTCTATCTGAGGCACTCATCTCCTCACAAACTACACTACGTCACCACTTTGTTGATAAACTTGCATTGGAATCACGTAAAACTGTGCATTTGCAGTATTTAGCTGTGATTTACCGACAAATCGTGCCAGAAAATGTTATGGCTGCTGAAGGAGTGACTGTATATCTCTAGCTCAGGCTGATTTATGATATGGAAAGAACTTTGCAGATGAAGGTGCTCCCAATATTCATACATGTCCACACTTACATATCTTGGTTTATCTTTCCCTTACCTATTTAAAATTATTCAATCAGATGGGTTGAAGGGACATGCTGTTGTTCGCTCTGTTCACATAGCTCCCAGATCCCCTATGGAGGATGTTGTGCTGTCTCAGATTCCCAATGACCATAGCTTGGATTCAAAAGAGTACAAATGTCTCCAGAACGGTGGGATTGTTATGGTTGACAAGCACTGTTAGGTTATGCTGGTCATAAAATGTAGCTAAGTATCTTTCTGAAAGAATTCATTTCTGTCCCTAACAGGATTCCTCTCTTTCATCGGATTTTGTTTTTGCAAATAATTGTTTATGGATAATTTTGAAGAGGGAATGTTTTAAAAACACTCCAATAAAGAATGAACACTCTTGCTGGTAGTTTCCAATTGTAATTGAACTTTATAATATAAATGTCTCTTGCTATGTCCAATGTTACTCCCTCCATATCCATCTCACCAATTTTACGTTGTTATTAGATTGTTTAGGTTGGCTTAACTTTATGCGATTGTTCAGGATCTTTACACTGCTTATTTTGTTACCAAAAAGAGAGAATACAATAATAAGATTGAAATATTAATGATAAAAAAGAAATACAGGTAATAAAGGAAGCAACAAAACAGGTGATGCAGTATGTCGCTGTACTGCATTAAGGAGTGGTGATGCTGTGTACATGAGTTTTCCTACAATCCTCACCTGATCCAGAGATTAAGTGGTGCCCTCTGCAGGTTATTTGTCAGCTAAATCATAGGATTAATCATACCACTGTCTTATTCAAAATATATCAAGTATCTGGTTATCAAGAAAATAAACTTGTGATACAACAAAGAGGAAAACAAAAGAGAAGAATCAAATGGAGTTAAAAGGTGAGATAAAGAGATAAAAGAATAAAGTTTGAAATTAATTGGTTCTAAAAATCAAATTAATTAAACAGGTATAAAAGAATAACATTAGAATATTTAAATTTCGTAATACTCAGACAGTGTTACAATCTAAATGGAATAAAAGCAGAACTCTGCTTAACATATTTAAATGACTGCAGCACTGTCTTTAATTAGCTGCAAATATCAGTCATGTAACACTATCATAGAATCAAAGAATCCCTACAGTGTGGAAACAGGCCCTTTGGCCCAACAAGTCCACACCAACTCTCAGAGCATCCCACCCAGACCCATCCCCCTATAACCCACCTAATCTACACATCCTTGGATACTATGGGCAATTTAGCAGGCCATTCGACCTAGCCTGCACATCTTTGGACTGTGGGAGGAAACCGGAGCAGTTGGAGGAAACCCACGCAGACACGGGGAGGACGTGCAAACTCCACACAGACAGTTGCCCGAGGGTGGAATTGAACCTGGATTCCTGGTGCTGCGAGGCAGCAGTGCTAACTGCTGAGCTACCGTGCCGCCCGCAATGGTTAAAGTAATGTATTCCTGGGATGTGGGCATTGCTGAAAAGACCAGCATTCATTACCCATCCCTAATTGACATTGAGAATGTACTGTCGAGCCACCTAATTGATCCATTAAAGTCCTTGTGGTAAAGGTTCACTCAGAGCCTGAGAGAGTCAGTCCAGATTTTAACTCTGACAGTGAAGGAAGACAATTATGTTCAAATGGTAGGATAGTGGTGACTTGGAAGGGAATATTATATTTGTTGTCTTTGTTCTTCTAAGTGGTAGAGGTTGGAAGTTGGAAGGTGTTGTCAAGGAAATCTTGGTATGGTGCTGCTATGGTGTGCCTGTGCTGGGGGAAGTGAATGTTTAAGATGGTGTATCAGTCAAGTAGGCTACATTACCTGGATAGTGTTGAGCTTCTTCAAAGTTGGAAGCCAGTGGAAAATATTCTGTC